AGCGCTCTGGGAGGCCAAGGTGGGCAGATCGTTTGAGCTCAGGAGTTCAAGACCAGCCTGAGCAAGAGTGAGACTCCATCTCCATTAAAAATAGAAAGAAATTAATTGGCCAACTAAAAAATATATATACATATATATATATATATACACACACACATATATAAACTAGCCGGGCATGGTGGCGCATGCCTGTAGTCCCAACTACTCGGGAGGCTGAAGCAGAAGGATTGCTTGAGCCCAGGAGTTTGAGATAGATGTGAGCTAGGCTGACGCCACGGCACTCTAGTCCAGGCAACATAGTGAGACTCTGTCTCAAAAAAAAGAAAAGAATGTAAGTTGATTTGATGGGTACCATGTCTGAGCAGAAGCTTTAACTATGATTAGCCAATTTTGCTTCCAGAACATATTCTGGACTTTATCCAGTCTATTCTATCCCATGAATGCTGTCCAAATCCATGATAACCTCTCTCAACTACTTTGATAACTTTTTAACTTATCTCAGGGCTTTTAGTTGTGTACCTCTGAAAACTCCCCTTCACACAACCATCAGCGATGTCAAACCTAACCCTGGAAGGCCACAGATGAACACCTCCAATGGCTCTCTCTCCCCCAGATGGCATTTGAGAGCCGTCATGACTTGGCTTCTGCGTGCCCCCTCAGCCTCAACCCTAGGCATTCCCAGCTTCCCACGTCATGTTCAGTAATACTAAACCACCTGAAGCTTCCTGAACACTCCTCCACACCTTTGTCTATTCCATTCCTTTGTCTAGCCTGCCCTCCTCTCCCTCCTGATTTTTTTTTTAAGAGAGATAGGATCAGTCTGGCGCGGTGGCTCACGCCTGTAATCCTAGCACTCTGGGAGGCCGAGGCGGGCGGATCACTTGAGGTCAGGAGTTTGAGACCAGCCTGAGCAAGAGCGAGACCTTGTCTTTCCTAAAAATAGAAAGAAATTAATTGGTCTACTAAAAATATATAGAAAAAATTAGCCGGGCATGGTGGGGCATGCCTGTAGTCCCAGCTACTCAAGAGGCTGAGGTAGAAGGATTGCTTGAGCCCAGGAGTTTGAGGTTGCTGTGAGCTAGGCTGATACCAGGGCACTCTAGTCCGGCCAACAGAGTGAGACTCTGTCTAAAAAAAAAAAAAAAGAGAGAGAGAGAGAGAGAGACAGGATCTCTCACTTTCTCACTGAGACTGAAGTGCAGTGGTGCAATGAGCGCTCACTGCAGCCTTGAAATCCTGGGCTTAAGAGGTCCTCCTGCCTCGGCCTCCAAGTAGCTTGGACTATAGGCACACACTACCACACCTGGTGTCTCTTCTAATTTCTGTCCAGATAACTTCTGTTACTCTCAAGGTTCAGCTCAGTATCAGTGCTTCCAGAAAGTCTTTCCTAGTACTTCAAAGGCATGCATTTTCCTGGGCTTCCTTGGTACCTGCACACATCTCGGACACTTCCCACATTCTGTGTAAATGATTTGCTCCCTCTCTTTCTCTTCCAATGGGCTGCCATCTCTTGGAGGGCAGGGACCATATCTTATTCAGCTATTAATCCTGAGAATCTAGCATAACGTCTGGTACATAGTACACATTTGTGGAGCTGAGACAGACCAAATTAAACATTAATATAAGACAACTCTGAGTTGTCACAAAGCCTTCTGCTGCTATTCTTACAAAGCTGATGGCATTATAAATTGGTTCTTCTGGAAAGCAACACAGCAATATGTAACAAAAACTACGAAGATGTTCATTCTCCTTCTGGCATTTTCACGTTTGTGAACATGCCTCAAAGAAATAATTCAAAGCAGAGAAATCCACACAGATGTCCAGCAACTCTAGTTATAACAGTGAGAAAACCTGGAAGCAATCCAAGTGTCTAACAGGGAAATGACTAAGCAAACAATGGGATTATTACATAGCTATTAAAAAATGACAAAGGTGAGGATTATGTCAACATAGAGAAGTGTGTATCTGCAGGAACGTTAAGTGGAAAAAGGAACACAGACTAGTGTTTAAACACTAGTGTTTAAGGCTGTGTATGTACATTAACAAAGATTGGAGACCAATTTGGAGAAATGAAAATGGCTAAAGTTCCGTGTTCGCTGGGTCTTTTTCCCTGCACAGATCCATGAATTTATGACAATAATAGGTGAGAGTCCATGCAATATAGCTATCCTGAAAGTTTTCTGCAGTGTAAGTATTCCGAGTTATACCAGATTGTATATTCCAAAAAATAATTTAATGCTAAATTCTTATAACATTATTTTAAAAATAATGACAGTTCTTCAAGTCAACAAAACAGGTGTGTTTTTTTTTTTTAAGTTAAATTCAACAGGCACTATGAGAGCTTACCTGCGTTGAGGACTTACATTCTCGTGAAATTCACATAAAAATGGTCAAAAATCCTCAGGTGAATATGTGTTATTATTTTAGTTTACTTTCTGTTTTTTGGGTGAATGTACCTATTAGAACAGATTACAAAGGAAAGTCTGGAAGACCTTTGGACTAAACCTCACATTCACAAATTGTCTTAATTTTATATTTTGGATATTGTCTCCAAAAGAGGTCCTATATATATAGTCACTGAGATATACTAATAAGGATTAAAAAGAAAAAGTCATCATCATGTAACTCTAAACTTGTGCCACTTTACCACTGTAGTGCTCTATGAATTAATGTTTTTATAAGTCCTGTGATTATATTGCGAATAGCAGAATATTGACATTATAACATATATTACATTGCAATTAAAAGAAAGAAACCATACTTTTTTATATCCTGTTTTAGAATTTCTTCATTTTTTAAAATTCACTAAGAGCCTCAAAGAGTGGAGGTAGCCCAGGCCTCTGGGAGGCCCTGAGCACAAACATCACTTTATCTTTAAAATGTGATAGTTTTAAGTAGGTGTCTAAACTAATGGGTGGTTAATAACTTAACTATATAAACACCTAACTAGCACACTGCTGTCTATTAGCCTTGCTGTTTCTGCTGCCATGTAACCAGTGATCAGAAAATCACCAGCTTCTAGACTAGTGGTTCACACACGCAGCTGCAGGTCAGAATCACTTGCATTTTCCCAGACCCCACTCCAAACCTCCTGAATTAAGCTCTCTAGGGCTGGGGCCTGGGGATGCCCAGGCTTAAAAAACTCTCGACTTTTATTCCTTCCTGCACTGAATTTCCATACAGTTCTAGGACTCAGAATTCAAGCTAGTATCGTTAGTGCTACAGTTCATCTGCATCAAGAATTAACAGATCTGCTGGCCAGGTGTGGTGGCTCCTGCCTATAATCCTAGCACTTTGGGAGGCCAAGGCAGGAGGATCACTTGAGGCCAGGAGTTTGAGACCAGCCTGGGCAATACAGTGAGATTCCTCTCTCTGCAAAAAATAAAAATAAAAAAAAAATAAAAATTAGCCAGATGTGGTGATATGTACCTATAGTCTCAGCTGCTTGGGAGACTGAGGCAGGAGGATCACTTGAGCTCAGGAGTCTAAGGTTTCTTTGAGATAGGCTGATGCCATGGCACTCCCTGGGCAACACAGTGAGACCCCCGTCTCTATAAAAAAATTTAAAACATTAGCCAGGTGTGGTGGCATATGCTTATAGTCCTAGCTACTTGGGAGTCTGAGGCTAGAAGATCGCTTGAGCCCAGGAGTCTGAGGCTGCAGTGAGCTATTATTGTGCCACTGCACTCCAGTCTGGGTGACAGAGCAAGACCCTGTCTCAAAAAAATAAATAAATAAAATAAAATAAGAGTTTAACAGATCTCAAGGCCAGTGGGCTAGTTTGAGAACCAACCACCACTTTCAATGTAGTCTCTCTGTGGTGATGTGTTACAAGTGCCTGACAAATAATTTAGCAAAGAAATTTGAGGATGGGATGGTGCACATAGAACTTTTGATCAAAATGCCTTCCATTGTTCCTCAAATTTCTAATTGTACCTTACTATATGAAATAAACAAATGCTGAACGGAAAGTGTTAAGTTCACATGTCAGTTCTTGTAAATAATGTGAAGCACTAGGTTTTTATGGGCAGTAAAACTTTGAGTAGCCCAAACTGTCAAATAACTCAATTTTTCCCCCATAAAGAGGCAAATATGAGGAAAATAAGTTTTCAACACAGAGAAAAACAAATTCCTGGATATGGGCTGTGGTCAGCACACATGTTGTGCATTCTTCCATACTCCTAGTTCTTCATCCTAGGAATCCTTCCATACTATGGTACTGATGCTCTGAAGAGCATTCCCAGCAAAATTCCTCATCCATAAAATACAGATTTAATGTGTTCCTCCAAACACAAACACACAGGACAATCAACGTCCAGGGAAGTCAGAGGAACATGTGCCAACTGAAGAACAAGGGTATGGTCCCCCCTCGTCCCCAGTTCACTGTGGCTCACATCCCACTTGGAGGGACTATGTCTCTGGAGACAGAAGAAGGTCCTCTTCCACTTCTAACCTCAAAAGTGCGGTGATGTCTTCTAACCTAAGACATCTTGACTCAGGTTATAATTATCCTTTGAAGAGCTGTAACCAGAATATTTGGACATGGATCAAATTCAGAATAACCAAGTTCAAAAGGCCTGTGGTTGTGAGGGTAGCAAATGATGTTGTGTTGATAAATACAAAGTATAGTCATAAAGGTGGGGGTTTTAATAATCCAGAATGGGCCGGGCACAGTGGCTCACACCTGTAATCCTAGCACTCCGAGAGGCCGAGGCAGGAGGATTGCTTGAGCTCAGGAGTTCAAGACCAGCCTGAGCAAGAGCGAGACCCCCCCATCTCTACTATAAACAGAAAGAAATTAGCCAAACAACTAAAAAACATAGAAAAAATTAGCCGGGCACAATGTCGTGTGCCTATAGTCCCAGCTAACTGGGAGGCTGATGCAGGAGGATTGCTTGAACCCAGGAGTTTGAGGTTGCTGTGAGCTAGGCTGACATCACGGCACTCTAGCCTGGGCAACAGACTGAGACTCTGTCTCAAAAAAGAAAAAATCTAAAATGATATGACTGTTAAAGCTTTCCAAAGAAACCAGAGAATTGAGGCCATCATCATTTAAGCGAGAAAACAATGTGGCCTTCCTTATCTGGAGTCAAGAGTGCTAGAAGAAGGGGTGCTGTGCTAGGATGTGGGGCCCTGTGGGAAGACTGAGTTCCCAGGCTGATCTCCAGCCACCTCTGCCTGCCCCGGGGATATCTACCCTCCCCGTGATCTGGTCTGTGGCAAGTCCACAGATGCTATATGCAGTTTTCCCTCCCGAATTATGAAAATAATTGCCCTTCAGCCCATGCTTCACTAACCTGTAGACAGAATCCATTCATTTATCTATCACATGGGCTACAATTGCTACTTCAAACGAAAACCCAGGAAGTCAAATCCCTGCTGCTGCTGAAAGTGTATAATTAGCTTCTTGCACAGCCTGACCTCACTGATTTTTCTGACGCATGTGGACTGCAATGTGACCTTTCTGAGACCTCCAGTGTCTTCTGCACAGCTGGAGATGCCCAAAGCTGCACGCAGCACTTCCCGTGCGTGTGGCCTTGCATTTTTAAGCCTGCATGTACCTGCCACATGCTGAATGGATCACATGCTTTGACCACTCACGCACTCACAAGGCTTTTTAAAATACAGGCATGGACTCTGAGTGGCTATATCAGATACAAGGAAGTTTCCCATCCCCTCTTTTTTCTTTTAAAAATGGTTTTGTAATGGTGGCCCCTCAAGAAACACTATAATTGGTCAGCCTGGGGTGTGTTTGAAGGCCTCCCGATCACGTCATTAGCTATTCCAGGAGAGGAAAGGCAGGGTATCCCCCCTGGGAGAATGACAACACGCCCGTTTCAAGTTGGGGAAGAGCCTGTGGTTCTCTTCCTGCGTTTGGGGGAAAGCGAACACACAATGTTCATTTCCTAAATATGGGATGTGCTGTGCTGGCAGGTCATTTTCCACCATGTCACATCCTTCTGGCTGAAGGCAGCAGGGGCCAGGACAGGAAATGGCAAATTCTCAGAATGAGACATGGTTTTCCCAGGGCAGCCATTGGCCCTTTGAAACTATAAAGCACGCTCATCCAGAAACGGCCTCAGATTTTTCTTCTTGGAAGCAGCCAGAAGTGAATGGTAAGTGGGGAGACTCGAGGCATACTGTCTGGAAAATAGCCATTGGACTTGCAGTAATGGGCTTGTGTCCTTACTCCCTTATATATTTGGGATGACACTTTCTCTTTTTACCAGGGAAACTTACTACTGGTGGGTTGGATTATGGAGGTATGCAAGTAAAATAAAGAATCAAGCCTAAGATGAGGTTTGCACTATTCATTCTAACTAGGGCTACTCATTCTAAGACTAGGCTCTGTGAAGAATCAGCTGGAACATGTCAGTGTTTCAATTCCCTCAACTTCCAGATGGGATAACGATATCTGCCCTATCTCACAGTTTTGCAATGCTCTATTTCTTTGGCTTCTTTGCCACTTTTAAGACATTCCTAATAATGAAGAGTACAGTGGCTACGAAGGTGGGAATCTCTGGCAACTAGGAAGGATGTGCTTTTATGCCCAAGATATAAAGTTCTCTCTTTCTCAGTCATGTTCAATTGGTTTCAACTTAATTTGGCACAAGGTAGCCCTCAGTGAGGTGAAGAACAAGAATTCTGGCCACTTTATTCAGCTGTTACTCATTTTTTAAAGGAAGCTTTCATAACAAAAAGATGTAGTGGTATTAATTTAATGTAATTTAATTGTAAGCAACCATCAGAGATGGAGATTTCTGAAGACCAGAAGAGCACTAGTTAGAACAAATAGCCCTAGTTAGAATGAATAGTGCAAACCTCATCCCAGGCTTGCTTCTAAGATAAGAGCCTGGAAGAATCGCAAGCAGAAGAGTTGTTTCATGCAAGCATCTAACTTAGAAAGATTAGTTTCTTCTATTTGATTGACCATACTACTTTTGAGGTTTTGGTGACTTGTCTTTTTCACTCATCAGAGAAAGGGAGAGAGAGAAAACTGTGTTGCAAAACTCCTGGGATCCAAAACTTCATATAATGAAAGAGCTTTGTAAACTGTACAACCTACCACTTGGAAAGTGTTATCTTTCCACCAAAGCAGAGGCCTCAGTATTGGAGGGGCCTTCTAATACTCCCAGCCCTGTTAAAATTTTATTTAACAGCATAGCTAGGCGCTGTGGCTCACGCCTGTAATCCCAGCTACTCCACAGGCTGAGGCAAGAGGATCACTTGAGCCTAGGGATTGGAGACCAGCCTGGGCAACAAGGGAGACCCTCATCTCTTAAGAAAAAAAAAAAAATCTTGGCCAGGTGCAGTGGCTCACGCCTGCAATCCTAGCACTCTGGAAGGCCGAGGTGGGAGGATCGTTTGAGCTCAGGAGTTTGAGACCAGCCTGAGCAAGAGCGAGATCCCATCCTCTACTAAAAATAGAAAGAAATTAGCTGGAAAACTAAAAACATATAGAAAAAATTAGCCGGGCATGGTGGCGCATGCCTGTAGTCCCAGCTACTCGGGAGGCTGAGGCAGAAGGATTGCTTGAGCCCAAGAGTTTGAGGTTGCTGTGAGCTAGGCTGGTGGCACTGCACTCTAGTTCGGGGAACAGAGTGGGACTCTGTCTCGAAAAAACAAAAAAGAAAAAAAATCTTATTTAACAGATAATGACGCCCATTGCTAGCATTCCCTGGGAGAGAAGCAGAAGATATATTTCCATATGCGGATGTGAGGTCCTGGGAACTCGTGGGACTCGTCCCAGATCCCAGAAGCGGGCTTTGTGAACTTGACACATGACCCGCTGGGAACGGCCCCGTTTCCCCCGGAGGACTCGCGCTCGCGCGCGGGGAGCGCGGAGGCTCGGGGCTAACTGCGTGTGTGTGTCCCCGCAGGGCATGGAGAGGACGGCGGCCGCGGAGCCGCCCGGCGCCGACGCGCTGCGGCGCTTCCAGGGGCTGCTGCTGGACCGGCGCGGACGGCTGCACGGCCAGGCACTGCGCCTGCGCGAGGTGGCGCGGCGCCTCGAGCGCCTCCGCCGGCGCTCCCTGGCGGCCAACGTGGCGGGCGGCTCGCTCAGCGCGGCGGGCGCCGTCGCCGCCATCGTGGGCCTCTCGCTCAGCCCGGTCACCCTGGGGGCCTCGCTGTTGGCGTCGGCCGTGGGGCTGGGGGTGGCCACGGCCGGCGGGGCCGTCACCATCACGTCCGACCTCTCCCTGATCTTCTGCAACTCCCGGGAGCTGCGGCGGGTGCAGGAGATCGCCGCCACCTGCCAGGACCAGATGCGCGAGATCCTGCGCGGCCTGGAGCTCCTGTGCCGCTCGCAGGGCCGCGGCGACCGCCAGCTGCTGCAGTGCGGCAGGAACGCCTCGGTCGCCCTGTACAGCTCGGTCTACTTCATCGTCTTCTTCGGCTCCCGCGGCTTCCTCATGCCCAGGCCGGCCGAGGGCGCCACCAAGGTTAGCCAGGCCGTGCTGAAGGCCAAGATTCAGAAACTGGCCGAGAGCCTGGAGTCGTGCACGGGGGCGCTGGACGAGCTCAGCGAGCAGCTGGAGTCCCGGGTCCGGCTCTGCACCAAGCCCGGCCGCGGCCAAGACCTCAAGATCGCTGCCGAGCAGCCCGCGGGGCTGTTTTCCTGAGAACGCCCTTTGCCCCCAGTGACCGAGGCCGGAAGCCACCCCCACGGGATGCTCCGGATTTGCAGCTCCCTCAGGAAAACGCCACGTCGGGTTAGGGACTGAACGCAAAGGATGAGAAAAACTGTTCTTGAAGCGCGTGGGTCCCCACAGCCCCTTGTCTCCCATCGCTGTGACATCCTGCCTGGGCTGGGGACTTTTCACCTGTGTCATCTTGGTGCAGTGTGTGACCTGAAAACTCTTTTTTTCTTTTAGCAAAACCTTTCTGTCTTCACACAGCTGGGCAGGCACTTCCAATAACTTTGTTTTAAAGTTATTTAGGTGTCGCCGCCCCTGCCCCGTGTTTTGAGCTGAAGCTGGAGAGGGTGCCACCCTCTGGCGCCTGTCCGAGTCCCACTAGGCTTTGAAGTCCTCAGAATGCCCGTGGGAGGAGACACTGCCTTAAACCCTGTCTTCCAGAGTTTCTGATACAAAGCACTCCAGAATCCGGAGCAAATCAGACCCCCTCTGAACTCCGTTGGAGGGTTCAGGACCCAGCGGAGGCCCTGGTACTGATATGCAGTCTTCTTCCCTGTCCTTTCAGTGTCCTCACTCAGGTGCAGCCTGGGTATGAGTGGACCTTTCCTGGGTGGCTTCCTGTCCAGGTTCCAGGGACTGTGGGAGGGAAGCCAACCAACCAGGCACCTAAGTCCTGCCCTTGTCGCTTGAAGAAGCCGAGGCCAAAAAAGAGGAAGTGATTTAACAGCTTCATTTACTGACCAAAACCCTGGGTAGAGAAGAGAGCAGTGGGTTTTGAGTTGGACAGTCCGGGTTTATCATAGGTTTTGTCACCACGCTGGGAGCTTGGCCACCTATCTCTCTGACCTTCTGTGAAAGATGATAAAACAAACTCACCCTGTTGTGAGGTGTTAAGTGAAACAAAGTGCCCAGCACAGTGTGTGGTCCCCCCCCCAAAAAAAAACGTGGTCCCCGAATTGTCAAATTAGCATCAGGAGCTTGTTAGAAAGGAGGAGCTTGTTAGAAAGGAGGAGCTTCTAACATGCAGGACCTTGTTAGAAAGGCAAATTCTTGGACTCGACCTCTGATTTATAGAAACAGGAACTGTGGATGTTGGGCCCAGCAACGTGAGTTTAAACAAGTTCTCTGGGTGATTCTGATGCACACTAAGGTTTGAAAATCACTGCAACAAACGTTCATTTCTGATCCCCTCAATGAGCCTTCACGAAGTCTCACAGCTTCTCTAAGGGCTCCATGGTCTTCTGAGTTATTCACAGAAGGTCAGGGACAGGCTGTGTCCCAGAAGCCAAAGAAAGAACGTGTGTGTGAATGCATCCTGGGGCCACGTCCCACCGTGTGAACTAAGGGATGTGTTATAACATAGTAAACCCTTTAGAGGGCAGTGTTGCCCACTCATTGTAGAAACTGGTACAAAGGAATGTGAACTAACCTAAAATGGACCTTTCTCTATTTTCTTCTCTGAAAACCACAAGTCCCTGTATTTTTTAAATTTATTTTAAGTTTGTAATTTAATTACTGTTTGTTATTTGCTTTTAATTTTATTTAACCACCACATTTAGAAATAATAAGAATAGCAAGTTTCTGAATGGGAGACTACTGGGGCTCTTTTCAAGAGATGAGACTGAATTTGACTTCCTAAGGCAGGGTGTGAGCTGGAAACAGCATCGCTTTTCTTGACTAAGTCTCTCCCCTTTAGGGGGGATTTGTTTTTCTCTAGTGTTTTAAGTGACCCTTTTAAGTAGGTGTGGCAAGTTCTGAATAGAGAGACCAGGAGCTGTGTTTAAGCTTGTAATGGAGGCTTGAATCGTGGGCTATATAAATGATGAGGCATATTTATCCTGAAGGTACTTTGCCAGAAGATAACTCTTGACCTGGAAGGAGAACCTATTTAGTTCAGGAAAAAAAAATGAGAGACATATGAAGGAAGCACTTAGACCTTGGAAGCCTGATGTCTTATGTCTGACGAGTGATGCACAAAATAGCTTGTCTTATGGTGGTATATTTTCACTTTGGGGTCTGTAAAAATTTGTCAGCTATGTCTAAGAAAATATTTATGATTTCTTCAATTTCTATTCTTCATAACTAACTGCAATGTTGAAAAATAAGTTGGTTAAGTCTTTGGGACCGCACATAAAAAACTTGGCTTGATGGCCAGGCGCGGTGGCTCACGCCTGTAATCCTAGCACTCTGGGAGGCTGAGGCGGGAGGATTGCTCAAGGTCAGGAGTTCGAAACCAGCCTGAACAAAAGCGAGACCTGTCTATACTATAAATAGAAAAATTAATTGGCCAACTAATATATATAGAAAAAATTAGCTGGGCATGGTGGCGCATGCCTGTAGTCCCAGCTACTCGGGAGGCTGAGGCAGAAGGATTGCTTGAGCCCAGGAGATTGAGGTTGCTGTGAGCTAGGCTGACGCCACGGCACTCACTCTAGCCAGGGCAACAAAGTGAGACTCTGTCTCCAAAAACAAAAAAACAACAACAAAAAATCTTGGCTGGTATTTAATTATTTAATATGCTATACCTCCACCTAGTCTACCCCCATGCTTCCCAGTGGTGGCAGTATGTCTGAGAAAGTATAATTTTAGCACTGGGGTGGAGAAAGTAGGAATTGTTGTTTTTATATTATTATTTTTTCTATAAATTGCAATTCCCAGTGATGGCAGTATGTTTGAGAAAGTATAATTTTAGCACTGGGGTGGAGAAAGTAGGAATTGTTGTTTTTATATTATTACTTTTTCTATAAATTGCAATTGGTCTGTATCCTGGTTTATTTTGAAATCGATATTGGTACCTTTTTAATACGGTGTCATTTTCTAGACTACCTTGCACAGATGTTGGCATTTTAGATTACCAGAATGTACTTCACATAGTCATTTGTGTTATGTCATAAAGGTACAACTATTCTCTAACTCCATCTTTTATTAATGCTTAAGATTAAATTATATTCTTCCAGTACCGGAGCTATTCTCTAGACGTAAACTGGGCACTTTTGGAAGCAGCAGCAGAAACAGCAGCTGCAGTATTTTCCTATATTTTGAGTAAATCAAAGTTCTAAATTTTTGAAGTTATCATTTCAGTGGCCCACTTTACATCTAAAGAAGTGTGTGTGCTTTGGAACAATACTTTGCACATAATAGGAACTCAAGACATGCATTTGAATAATTTAATTAACTGGGTGTATTTATAGGAATTTGTTGATAATGAAAGATCATCTGTCCTCCTATGTGTCTGTTATGAAGATTGGAGCCTTTACCAGGATTTAGTCAAGTCCAGTTAGATTGATGCTAGAGACAAGTATGTCTTTATTTCTCTTATGGAAATGTTTATGGCCTTTTCCTTAAGGCCTTCATTCTATTATAAAATAGGTTGAAAAGGTATGTTGTAAAGGGAAGAAGGGAGAGGGGTATTTTGATTATAAATGTACTCCACAAAAATGTCATTTTGAAAAATAAATGCATTTGTACTAAATGTTTTAAGTGCTTCTCTGTTAGTTTCTTGGGTTTACAATTATTTGAATTGTTTTGTTTCACAATAAAGGAGATTCATTTGATTCTTCATTTCAATGATTCAAAAAATGTATGCTATACCATTAAAGAGTAATCCTCAGCAAACATTCTCACCCTAACCACTTTGATGCACCTGCCCTCAGGGGCTTGGTCCTTTCTGATGTGGTGAATGTCAAAGTCAAAAAGAGAGAGAGAGGAGTGGTGTAGTAGCTTCCCAAATCAGATATGTCAAACAATCAGCCAACTTGATATATTGATATATTTCCATTTAATACCTTGGTGTGAAAAGAAAGCAGCAGGAATTGAGACATTGAGACAAAGACATTATCCAGAGATAAATGGGGATACAGTTAAATGTAGCAACTTGTTTTTTGTTTTTATTTTTTTGACACAGAGTCTGCCTCTGTTGCCTGGGCTAGAGGGCCAGGCATCAGCCTAGCTCACAGCAACCTCAAACTCCTGGGTTCAAATGATTCTCCTGCCTCAGCTGGTACTACAAGGTGTGTGTCACAATGCCCGGCTAATTTTCTCTAGTTTCAGTTGCCTGGCTAATTTTTTTTTCTATTAATTTTTTTAGTAGAGATGGGGTCTCGCTTTTTCTGATGCTGGTCTCAAACTGCTGACCTCAAGCCATCTTCCTGCCTCTGCCTCCCAGAGTGCTAGGATTACAGCCATGAGCCACCATGCCTGGCCTAAATCTAGCTACTTTTAAGTTCATTTTTCCCTCACTGTAACAAAAGTAGTCCTTTCCTTTTATTGAAATAAATTGCTCATTTCTCAAACTTGTTGATCTTTCTGTAATTAATTACCTAGTTCCATATGTGCCTGTGTATGAATTAGTAACTTTGAAAAAAGGCAGATGTTTAATCATTTTCACTTAGAATATTCAGCATCAGACTATATGAATCAATTTTTAAAAAGTAATTGGTCCATACACAGGAATTCCCTTATTATCTAGAAATCAGACTTCCGGCAGTCTCAAACCCTTTGACTATAATTAATACCTGGGAAGTAGTTGAAAAGAAACCTAGACTCAAATTAGCCTTCGCAAAACCCAAACACTAGGGAGAAGTGGACAGGGAGTGCGGGGAGGTGGGGGCAGCGTCTTTATCAGGAAGGCAAAACTTTCTCAGAAATCTGCAGGGGACTTCACCTTGCAAGTCACCGCTCTTAACTGTGCAAGACAGGCTGGGAAATGTAGTATTTTTAGCTGAGAAAAGTGCTGCCCCCAATATACCTAGGCTTCTAGTATATTGGTAAGGAAGAAAAGCAGGGTGGCCATTGTGTAGGGGAGCCCAGCAATCTATGCAAAAACCCTGTCGTGATTGTGGCAGTCAGTTTGGAGCTACTGCTGTGCAGGTGACCTTACTATCTAAGTGCTGGCCTTTGAGTCTGTACTTTGGAAACATTCCTGTGTCTGAATGTTGCTCTGTTAATGACTGTACAAGCAAAAAAAAAAAAGACAATGTTGGCAGGACCCTGTTTGCAAAGGCCAGCCACAAGCTGGGATTGTATCTTTGCTGAAGCATATGGTATTCCTGTAGTAACAAGTGTCCTTTTAGTTAATTGCAATTAATCTCTTGTTGAGTTGACAGGAGGTTGGGATGTTACTTTTTGCTCCTGGCAAACCCATGAGAGCGAAAGTAAACCCTGCTGTGGTCTGGAATAGGACAAAGAGTGAGCCCTAAGATCTGGAAACAATCTCTTAGCAACCAGGGAGTTGTTAGGAGAGGAGAAATTGTGCTGATGGGGTGAGACCCATCTAGGGGCCAGGAATGCACGTTGGGGGTGCATAGACCACCTGGCTAACATTAGCACTGGGTTGTAGAGATAAGACCCTTCCTTGTGGTCTTGCCTGCACAGATAAAGATTGTCTATAGGAAGCCACATCTGCAGAAAATGATGTTTAATCCCATTTTGTATTTCCGCTGTAACCCCTGGGGCAGGAGGACAGCCAGACCTGTTGCGTGATTTGCCCCTGAGCTTTAGCCATGGGTCACAGCCAAGGCCTTTGCCTCCCTTATACACAGGAGCAGCCAGATGCTGGCTTATTGCAGCATTTGTGTGCATGTGGTTGCCAAATTTACCAAAATAATTGTAATTGGAAGAAGCCTTTTGTGTAGACAGAATTAAGGGGCATGGGGTGATGTCTAAAATCTTTCTTTTAGGCTAAAAGCTCCTTTTCCTAGGCTCTCTGGTTGACATGCAAACATTTGCTTCTGCTCATATCCAGTTATTGAAACTACACTCTCAAAATGTCTTTTAAGAACAATCCTTTTCTCAGTGCTTAAATAAAGCACATTTTGATGAGATAGAAAATAAATACAGGATTTTTAATAATAATAATAGCTAACATTTATCGAGAACTCATTAGATACTGTTCTAAGTACAATGTGACCTATATTATCTCATATACCTTACAAAAATCTTATAAGGTGAGTACTATAATTATCCCATATTATTAGATAAAGTAAGAAATTTGAGAGGTTGCACAGCTAGCAGAAGGTGCCCCAGGATTTGAATTCTGGCATTCTGACTCCAGAGTCATGCTATGAGCTACTCTGATAGTAAGTGTATTCCTGTTATAAAATAATAGGTTATGATGGTGACAATATTAATAACAACAGCTGATGGATTTGTTCATTCATCCATAAAACGTTCATGGAGTACTTACCTGGTACCATGCACTGTCATTTGTGAGCACTATGAACAGGGTTCTAGGTCTGTTGGCACTAACAATCTAGTAATCTAGGAATGGTACTCTTATGCTAGTAGATTGTGTCAATAGGAAATTAAAACGAGGCCAGGCATGATGGCTCATGTCTGTAATCCTAGCACTTTGGGAGGCCAATGCAAGGGAATTGCTTGAGGCCTGGAGTTTGAGATCAGCCTGGGCAACATAGCAAGACTTCATCTCTACAAAAAATTAAAAAATTAGCCAGGCAGGGTGGTGTGTGCCTGTAGTCCCAGTTACTCTGGAGGCTGAGAGGCAGGAGGATCGCTTGAGCCCAGGAGTTTGAGGCTGCAGTGAGCTATCATTGTGCCATTGCACTCCAGCCTGGGTGACAGAGAAAGACCCTGTCTCTAAAAAAAATTGAATAAATAAATAAAATAGCTAGTATTTGCAATAAACAATGTGGCTGTGATTGAAAGTTATCCAACTTCAGTTTGGATCATAAAAACTTATGTGCAGGAGTGTATTTTGTGATCCTACCCCAGATCTCCCAAACAGAACATGACAAGATTCCTGTAAATGAAACCCCTGGAGTGGAAAGACATGATTTCTGAGAACTTTTGACTAACTGCCGATGTGCTGGAACTGAAGATGTCAACAGAGACAACGCAGACGTGAATAAAGGAATTACTGGTTCAACAGGCCTTTCCAGATCTTATTATA